TCATCGATTAATATCGATATTTCAGAGAGATATTTATCGATTTTTACAGATATGGCGATGATTCTCGATGAATATCGCCCCAAAAAATTTCCTGATGTTGGTGTATACAGATATTTCACAGAATTCACAAAATGTTGCCAGAAACCATTATCCTCTCTATGTTGAAAAATGAAATGCGCTTCCTTCCGCAATTGTTCAGCAATGGAAAATTTAGTGGTGCGTTGTCAAATAACACTGTGGATGATTTCTACAGGACAATCACTTATTGAAGCAAGATGATTAGTAAACATGTAAAACATCGGATGGCTAGTCTCCATCCAATAAAAAATATCAGAAAAAAACATTAAAGAAGCACACTTATAATTCTTCTGATCAAACTGAAGAAAAAGATCGCTCCAGCAACGCATGCAAGCTTCTTCGTAAGCCAGCCAATTTCCTCCTCGATAATGTATTGCGTAAATGTCAAGAACTAAAGGGATTAAGTTGCCTAAAAGATCTGTTAGATATAAAAATTCTATATTCTTACACGTATGACCAAACTTTGAATAAACAGCATCAATAATATTAACCCACGCCATGCACACGATGTTGAGAATTAAATCAATTCTCCATGGTCATGGTGTCTTACCAAGATACTTATTTGCCCCAAATATTCCCTTATAAATTTCATTGAAAAAAAATGAATTTTTTAAGAAAACAAGCTCACGAGCATTTAAAGACACGTGAAGAGAGCCCATAACGGGCAAAAATGAAGTGACAGACAAAGGAATAGTTTCATTTTTAAGAAGGAGCTGATGTGCAATGGCTTTACGAACAAAGAACTGACCAGGCCAATCCGCAACAAGAGGAATTACGTGATTGGAAAGATACGCCTGCATTGGATCTTGATTGTAAACAATTTGGAGAGCTTTCGTGATGCTTCTACTCCTTTCAAGCCACTTTCAACAAAATTGACAAGAATAGCATTCTGTATATGACGTTCACTCCTTCTTTCTTCTAACCTGTCATTATAACTATGTAGTGTTAGCCTTTCTATGAGTTCATCATCATCCGAGCATTCTTTTTCTATATAATTCAACATATGACTACGATTGTGATAAGAGATACTGAGGTTGGAGATAAATCATCTGTCAAGATGTTTTATAATTACTTCATAATCAATAATCTTTGGATTGATTGCTTCATCGTGTGGTATTGCCGGTGTGAAACATGGATTCGCTATGATTGTTGCCATATGCGCTGTCCAAGATGTATTCATAGAATCAGGTTGCCTTTGAACGTGAACATTGTGATAATCATCAACATTCAGCACAAAGGCACTTTCTGAATATCTTACGAGTGCATCTTCTGCGTATTTTCCGTGTGCATCTGACATTCTTTTCTTTTTACGATCTATTGTTCTTGCCATTGTAGTCACACCAAGATTTGTCATCGTATTAAGACCTTCGTTACTTGTGCCTACTGAATCTAAATAATATGTGATATTGAACTTAAAGTCATTAATTTTTGTATTATTTAATGATGCAAGAAGATAACATATAAAAAGCATTAATTTTTTCATACAATCCATCGTTTGCTCATTACGTTTTGATGGTCGAGCTACCAAATAAAGTTGGTCAAAGAAATCCTCCAAGCTTGGCTCAATTCCTTGAAGTAATCTTCGCATTTCGTCAAATGTGTATATGGGACTCTCCTTCTTCAGATGTTCTCTTTCATAAAGAATTTTTGCCATCACCTTGATGACACCCGTAAAATCAATCTTCATACTTACCTCTTCTTCTATAACTTCGCCTATAGCTTCTTCATCTATTTCTTCGTCCACAGATTCTTTGTCCATAATTTTTACCTTCTTAAGACCTCTCTTTAGAGGATTTTCTACAAAATTCATATAACAAATATTACAAAAAATATCACCTTCCATCCAAGTTTCTTTTATTAAGTCGTTTCTCTCAGCTTCTCTCCATTTCTCTCTCTTTAGTGAGCGGAATTTGGTTGATGTAGTGATTTTGCATTCCGTACAATGCTTATTTTCAGACATGTCGTCACTGGCAAATCGGAATATGAAAGCTATGGGATTCAAAGGAATTCACTCGATATTAGTATGAATCAGCATGAAAGCTTCAAGTTTGCTTAGTACGCTTATTCACGTTTCATTAATGGATTGGCCATTATAGTCACATGAAAAAGTATTGTAAACTGTATAAAAAAATCTTTAATTAATTGTGTAACTGATCTTCCATATTTGGGATGGTCTCTCCTAGAGCAGTGTTAAGGATTTGTTGCATAGATTGGTGATTGTTTGATATCCACACAGTGTTGTCAACAAAGACAAGATTGTTTATTGTGAGAGATTTAGATTGTTGAGTTTGAGATATGTTGATTGTTCATTTTGCTGATATTGTATATCCTTGAGTTGTATGGCGCTTATTTATAAGGCAGAGCAAGGAATCATAAAAGATTCGCCATAGTATAGGTGCATTGACTTCTCCCTGATCCAATCCATCTTTTATTGAGTAGGAATCTGTCGGTCTGAATTCTGTAATAACTTGATTTTGTCGAGAAGTATGAATATTTTTGCATAGATTTATATAGTTTTCATTCATTTTAATACATCGTAAAGCTTTTTCCAGCATTTGCCAGCTGACTGAGTCATAGGCACGACGCATATCCTGGAATGTGCACCACACTTCATTGTATTTTTCTCGGGCATCCTCTAAAATACTATTAATGATATGTATAGGACTGGTTGTTGACGTGTTTTTCAGAACAGAGAAATTGTTACCCTGGAGAATGTTGAGTTCTTTGCAGATATTTGATACTCTCTTGGTGAGGATGTGTGACAGTCCCTTCTGAGCTGTTTCAATTAATGTTATTGGTCGAGTTGAATCAAGATTGCCCTCCCAGTCACCAGGTTTGGAAATGAGTATGATTTTTGAGTGTTTCTATTCATTAGGTACATCTGATGTTGAGAGACAAGTGTTGTATAATAGCAGAAGTAGTGAATAAAGAGAGGATGAGGCTTTTTTTATTAAAATATGTTGAATTCCTGATGGACCTGGTGCTTTGTAAGCATTGGTATTTAGTATTATATCAGTGAATTCTTTCATTATGATTGGATTAGAGACAGAAGCGAATGCGTCATTAGAAACTTGGTGAAGTGAAGTATATTCTGCTTGCCATTGTGGATCTGGCCATGATGAGATAATGCGTTTTCACATCCAATTGGCAAAGTGTTGTCTGACTGTGTCTTTGATAATTACTGGATGATCTGAGAGATCGTTGGAAATAATTACTTTGTCAATAATTATTTTGCTTGATGACTTTTTCAGAATGTTAGAGAGCATTAAGAAGTGTTGATTGCCAAATCTTTTGATGTTGTTTTGAATACCTGTATTAATCTGAAAAGTTTTATATTGTTTTGCTAGTAATGTTTTTTTTTGTTTTGAGCTGGGCTTTAAATTGCTTAAGATTAGATAGTAATGATAATATTGAACTTTGTGAATTCCAGTTAATGTCTGAGATAGAAAAAGAAGGATTATATTTGTTGATTTTGTTTAAAGCAAGATTTATTGGTTTGATTATAATATCTGAAACTGGACTGGATAGCTGGCTAATTGCTGAGATAACCTGAATAATCATTTTCATTTGTTTATTGATATTTGTGAATTGTTTTGGTTGGTGACATTTTTGATTCATTTGTTTTTTTTTAAGAAACTTATTCGCTGTCTCTAAGATAATATGTTTGATGTGAAACCATAATGCATTGATGTCTTCGGTATTGAAAGTGAGTTGTTCATTGCTCAATTCTTCTGTGTGATCATAATATTCTTGCCATGTGTTATCTGGTACATTTTGAGTTACCAGGAAAAATTGTTTGACTTTCCATTTTTTAAGTATATGCTTGGGTGTTTGTTGTGTAATTGATGTTGTTGTCAAATTACAAAGAACTGACAGGTGATTAGTGATAATCCAATGAGAATCAGATATTGCTGAATGTATGAGTGAAGCTGCTAATCTTGGTGATACCCAAATCATGTCCAGTCATCGATCAGAATTTTGTCATTTCCAGGTGGGATCATTTCTTTGTGGATGGATGGTGTGGACAGCTTCGTAGAGTCCCTTGAAAGTGAGCAGATCTGTGATTCCATTTTTTGGAGGATCGAAGAAGTGTTCATTGAAATCACCAAGCACAATGCAATAGTCAGATAGTGGTAGTGTGATATTGATTTTTTGGCACATTTTTTTTTTGATTTGATTGTTATTGGAAAGCAAGGATGCTGGAAAGTAACAGCTGATAATATAAATTATTATGTTTTCTGAGAATGCTAGTGATATGTGAATAAGTCTACCTTCAATAATGTGAACTTTTTGAATGTGTTTGGTCCATACTTGTTTAATGAGAAAACTGATTCCAGATCCGAATGGATGTTGATCATTGATGGTAAAAATATGTTGATATTGATCAAATTTAGGAAAGGAAAATAGTGCTGTTTGTTTTTTGAGCTTAGTTTCTGTGAGACACAATATGTCTATTTGATGGTAATTGAAGAATTGTAGTATATTATCTGCCTTTCCTGGAGAGTTTAATCCCCGGACATTGAGAGTGCTTATTCTCCAAGAGTTTGGTGTTTTTGAGTCAATATTGTTAAAAGTTAGTGCATTGATTATGATTTGATCGTTTAAGTCAGATATTGTAGAAATTTTTGATGAGAAGCTGTTTGTGTCAGTATCTTCTGTGAATTTTGAGTTTGATGTTAGATTATCAGGATTATTGAGAGTTGTGGAAATTCCAGTTTGAATATTGTAGGAGGGTGGTAATGGTGTGATATAATCATTATCTGTGTCTTGCGTATGGTTATTTTCAGTGGAAATAACCTGATTCTCTGTTATGGTGTTAGATGTTTGTGTTTGCATTATTAAAAGATCTTTCGATATTTTGCATTCGTTCATTAATTGAGATTTGTATCGTTTTCAATTCTTTGTTTTGTAGTGTGAGTTCATTGTTGAGTTGTAAAAGCTCTTGAATTTATCTATCTTTGAATAAGATACTATTAGAGTCGTTATCATTGTATGAAAATGGAGATTGGGATTGCATTTGAGAGGAATGTGGAGTAGGAGTATCGAGTGTTGAGTATTGATGTTTGGTTGTTTTGGAGTGTGAACCAGTATAGTTGGAGGGAGTTCATTATTTTGGAAAATAGATAGAATTTTGTCAAGCTTTGTTTCGAGCTTGAAAAATTTGAGATTTAGGAAATTGATGTCATTTCGAAGCTGATTGATCATTTCAGAATGTGTTTTTTGTAGTTGGATGTCAAGTTTATTATTGTTGATGACATTGAATTTGGATTTTGGTGGTGTGATGATGTTAAAATCTGTTGTAGTTTTGCTATTGTTGTTGTCATTTTTGTTGTTGTTGTTGTTGTTGTTATTAAAAATAGTGTTGTTGTAGCTTTGAGTGGTTCCTGTAAATGTGTTTTTGAGCAAGCCTTGTTTGTAATTAAGATTGGATGTTTTGATTAATGGTTTTCTAAGTTCGATGCCTCGATTTTCATACAGTTTGTTTAATTGGTGAAAATGGTTGGCTTTGTTTAT